GTGGTGGAAGACTTTAAACAGAATGGACTCCTCACCACAGTTTTTGGGTGACTAGGGGCAACACGACTGCTTCCCCGGCGGGTCATCTTCTTGCTGTGGGGCAGAAAGTAGCCAGGAATGAAATTAGGCTGAAATAGAATTTCGATAATGGTGGCAATTTAGCAGTTATATAGTAAAACTACATTGAAACTTGAGGCCTTTAAATGTAAATTAAACAAATGAAATTTCCAAATGTGAGGGTCTGATTTGGAGACGTCACTGCAATAGAAATTCGCTCACCAGGGGAGAGTGCCTAGGTGTGGCCTAGAGAAAATGAGCCTTATTACTTAGTCCTGAAGACTTTCATAAGAAAACAAAATCACTCTCTCCTAATGTTTCAGGGAATCAAGTTCCATCTCTTTAAAGCAAATGTGGCAGGAGGTTAACAATTACTATATCTAGGTCTGTGTGTGGCGGGGGTGGTAAGATGGACATTCATTGTACTTGTCTCAACTTTTCTCGACGTTTGAAAAATTTCATAATAAAACATGTTGGGAGAAAGGAATAAAGTAGATCACCAGAAATAAATAAAAGTAGAACAGATATAGTATCATGGAAAATAAAAAGACAGTACTTTAAATAAAATATATTTAGCTTTATGAGCAATTCACTTCTTTTACTTTGTTTTTCTCATTTTCTCATGGAGGAGCAGAAACCCCTGGGCACCCCAGTACTGAGGACCCCCTGTTCTGGAAAGATAGTATACAGGGGAACCATGGTAGAGAGAATGAGTTTGGGGCTAGTCCTCTTGTCTGGATTCTAATTCCAGAGCCTGCTGGCTGTTGCTCACGGAGTGACCGTGGACAAGTTACTTAAATTCTGTGTGCCCCAGTTTCTTCATCTGTAAAAACAGGGCTGGTAACCGAATAAGGAAAGTTAAGTGACTTGGTCGCTGTAAGTGACATGAACTGAGTTTGGTTCTAAAGATAATTACAGGAAACCCTACCACTGAAACTCACCCTTGTCTCTGTATACCTGTATGTCTTGGTTCAAACTTCTCTTAAAACCCTCAAATCAGGTGGCACCTGGGTGGCTCAGTCGTTAAGCGTCTGCCTTCGGCTCGGGTCATGATCCTGGGGTCCTGGGATGGAGCCCCACATCAGGCTCCCTGCTCAGCCTGCTTCTCCCTCTCCCACTCCCCCTGCTTGTGTTCCCTCTCTCGCTGTGTCTCTCCCTGTCAAATAAATAAACAAAATCTTAAAAAAAAAAACCCCAAAAACCAAACCAAAACAAAACAAAACCCTCAAACCGTCATTGTTTGTGTATCTGTAAGTCTTATCCTAATTGACTGATTTCTGGATGCAAGGGATGTTTCATTTTTTTTTTTTTCTTAGACACATGGCATAACTTTTTCTCACTCCCTGTGTGTTTGAATGAATAAATGAAATCTGAACACACCTTCCTATGTAAGGCCACATTGGCCAGGAAAGCGTTTTCCCTTGGAATCCTGTTCAGTATTCTTCCTTACTGGTTACCTGCCAGGAGAAGTTTGTCAGAGGAACCAGGAGGCCTCCCAAGTCTCATTAGCATGTTGCCTTTGGCACCGACACAGGAAGCTTAATTTCCCAAAGAATGGTGACTTCCATTAAAGCAGGTTTGCAGAATTGTTGGGGTGTTTGTGTATGTGAGGGGGAGGGCAATGACCATCATCACAGTAATGATAGGAACTAAAAAAATGTGGGCCTGGGGTGGGGTTCTGTGTGTGGGGTGCCTGGGTGGCTCAGTCAGTTAAGCGTCTGCCTTCGGCTCAGGTCATGATCTCAGGGTCCTGGGATCGAGCCCCGCATCAGGCTCCCTGCTCAGCGGAGGGCCTGCTTCTTCCTCTCCCTCTGCCCCTCTCCCCTCCACTCGGGGCCCTGTCCATCGCTTTCTCTCTCTCAAATAAATAAATAAATAAATAAATAAAATCTTAAAAAAAAAAAGAAAGAAATGTGGCCCCGGGGATGTTCCCCTAAAGCTTGTGTCCACCGCATAAGTAATGCCAAACTGCTTTTAGCAGCAACTTGTCAATCTATGTTCATGAATTGTCACTTAACTGCATAAATGGTCACTAAAAGAGAAAAGACAGTTCAAATGTAGAAATCCTTGTCAGGGATTGGTCTTTAGCCTTTCAAATTGTGGGCACATAGGGCCATCTGCTGTGCAGTTGTATAACCACACATTGGATTTTTAAAAATCTCCTCACTACCAATTAATGTGACTTAGTTGGCTTTACAAAAGCAAACCATTCTTCAGGCTTTCTTAGGGGTACATATTGAGGACCTTGGCTTATTCCCAAACTTAAGGCTCCTCAAACCTATTATAATCTATATGCTAAATAAGCTCACCCTCTTATAGATCCTTGGAAGACCAACATCAAAGCCATGTGTAAGCTAAAGCTCAGGGGGCAAGAACTGGCAGTGCGCAGAGGAAGCCAGTAAAGAGAGAGCAGGAGAATGTAGCTCGTGAGTGGAGAGTGGGGAGCAAGAGACCATAAAATCCACAAGAGGAAAAAAAGGAGCCTGTCCTTGAGCTCCCTCAGGCCCTGATAACATTCTAATTTAGCTCATGTGTACCCCGGACATAAACTTTTGCTTAAGTCTCTGTTGTTTGCAATCAAATAAGCACTACTAAAACAATGTCAGTTTGGAAGAAGCCAGAAGACTGGAAATCCTAAAATCTGGCATGCCTTACCTTCATAAGTCCCCAAATGCCTGTATGTCTTATTCTTTTAATCTTCTGATAGAAGCTACAGATAGGAAGTAGGAAGTAGGAAGTAGGAAGAGAGGAATAAAATTAGGTCATCATAACCATTTGGGACCATTATTGCTGTCTGGGCCACCCAGCCAGACTTCTGTCAGCCTATGGGTCTCAACTCTGGAGCGACTAGGAATTGAAGAAATGCGTACCCTCAGACAGTGCTAGAGAATTGGCAATCTGAACCAGCAGGGTTTGAAGACCACCTTGTGAATCTCTGGCCAGGAAGGGTCTCTTAAACATCTTAAATACATCCCAGCATTTAATTTATGAGTTAGTAGTTTTCTGGCTTACTGTCAGTGTAGATCAGTGTTCTCAACTGGGGGCACAACTGGCCACAGTCTGGAGACTGGTTGGTTTTACAGCTTGGGGGAGGGGGACACCACTGGCATCTAGCAGGTAGAGGCCAGAGATGCTACTAAATATCCTATAATGCACAGGACAGGATTCCCCACCCCCACCCCCACCCTGCCCTGGCAACAAAGAATTATCTGGCCCCAAATGTCAGTAGTGCTGAAGTTGAGAAACCCTGATGTTCATGGCAGGAGAAGCTCTGAGGGAACAGTTTAAGTGGTAGGAAGAGCAGAGGGTTGGACTAGAAGTAGTGAATTTTATCAAGGGGAGCACTTCCAAGTTTTGGGGGAGATACCATATCACTACCTGTGGCCTGATGCTGAGTCATAGGGAACAGGTGGCCCGAGAGGCTCTGGTGAGGGCAACCAGAGATAAATCTAAGCAGTAAGTCCTTGAGTGGAGCTAAGATTATAATTGGAAAGACTAAGACTAATCAGTTTGATTCCCCTCCCCATCATTTGGGGTCATTGTGACCTAATCTCTATTTATATTAAAGGAATAAATTGGCTTGGGTAACAGAGACAAGGGGTTAAATTGGAGTGAGCAGAAGAGCAGCATATTAATAAATTAGCTTATTTAAATGTATATGGGTTGGAGAGTGATGTTTTGATAGGTCTGAGATGTGATAGTGGACCTGTTAAAACTAAAATATATTTTCATTAAGTTAGCTTTTGGTTGGGCACCTTCAAAGGAAACAAGTCTCTTCCCTAAAGAGCATGCAGAGCAGAAATCCCAAAGCAGTATCAATTTCAGGACTTGAAGACAAAAAGCAACACAGCTCCCTGCCTCCCCATGTCCCCACCTGTTTAAATATGTAATTTAAGAAAAATTAAAAAAATTCAAAGATACGTAATTTTTGAGATGGAGGCTTGTGTTTTTCTGAGACCTAGGCCATGGGAATCCTGGTCAGTAGACCTCCCTGTAGTGCTGAGTTGGGGAGCAAGTTTCAATGGGGGAATGTTCTGGAAAACAACTTCGGCAAGACCAAGTTAAAGATATGCTGCCAGTTTTTGATACAGGACATTGATAGAATACTTGTAGGTGCTCCAAGAGGATTTGAGAGACTCCACTTTGTAAATTGGGAATTTGTTTTAAACTAGGTTGACTTAAAGAGGGCCAAACCTACGAAATCACATTGATCCATTAATTTATTTCATTCAATAAATTTGCAGGTCTAGGCATTTTACCAAGTGCTTGCGATAGAAAGAAGCATAAGATGTGGTGCTCTGTCAGTCTGGTCAGGAGTACGCAGATAAACAGATAATTGTGGTATAGCAATACCGTCTCAACTGCAGTTAGTTCCCTGCTCTCCTTCCTTCTAACTGTGCCCACCTCTGGGAGGTGTCGGGTCCAGGAAAGAGATAGTCTATGAATTCTTGATCCGGAATTAAGCGGTCTATAAATGTTGATAAATAAAAGCCCTTTATTTATCAACAGGATCATCCTGCGGCTGGGAGCATCTTCTCTCCAAGACGGGGGTTGTTAGAAGTTTCGGGATTTTTACATGTTGCATTTTTAACGTTCCCACGTTTTATAGCGTTATGGTTACATGCACAACAAAGTGTGTGAGTCAGCCTGGGTGATGGGAAGCTCTGGAAGGTTTCCGAGCAGGAACATCTAAGCTTCATAATGTCCTAAAAGCCGGAGAGGCCAGAGCCCTGAAAACCAGCATCCGCATCCCTCCTTTCAGCTCCGGTGTCCACTCCCGCTGGGCCTGGCCTACATTTCCCAGGATGCTCATTTGCTGGAGCTCCAGCAGGATTGGTCAGAACAACGCGGAAGTAATTACGGGTCGCTCGGCAACGGGAGGAGTCCTGGACCATGACTGGAGGCCCACGCCCCTTCCCTGAGGCCGGGAGGTGGGCGTAGCTCCGCTCCATCTCCAGAGTAACGGAGCGTCCACCGGCTTTTACTTCCAGCCGAGCGGCCGTGCGATCTCTCCCGAGCTTTCACCGCCGTTCTTCCCAGGCCCCGCCCCTTTTACGCCGGCCGCAGCGAAACGCGGGAGACCTGATTCTAGCTACCGAGTCGTCTGAGCGGCGCGGGGCGGCGCAGTGCGCAGGTGCGAGCGTTTGGGTCTCGCCGCGCGCGGCGCTCGGTTGAAGCGGGGCTGAGTTCCTGGGCGCGGAAACCTGGCAGCGGGCGACCGACAGAGTGGGTGACTGAGCGCCTTCCCTGCCGTTATGGCAGCCCTGCGCTACGCTGGCCTGGACGACACGGACAGCGAGGACGAGCTGCCCCCGGGCTGGGAGCAGAGAACCACCAAGGACGGCTGGGTTTACTATGCCAAGTAAGGGGCCGCAGGGGGGCCTCCGGGCCTGGGACGCACCTGGAGGGGGCCGCACCTGGAGCACCGACGGCCTCACGGTCCCGGGACCCGGCGCTGCCTGGAATGCCCCCTGCGCGCGGAGGGGCTCGGGCCGGCGCTCCGGCTTGGCGAGGCCGCGCGAAGTGGAGGCGGTAGTTGAGGAGCTTCCTCAGGGAGGCTCCCACGGTCCCGAGTTGGGGTCGGCTGCCTTTCTGGGCCCTGGGTCCGGCGGGGGTCACCTGGCAGCGCCCAGACGCGCCCTCTGCTGCTCAGGAGGCGGCGCTGCACGGTGCCATGGTGGCCTGCAGGCCTTTACTCCCTCATCCAAAAAAAAATCAGGAAAAAAAAAGGCCAGTGCCCAGCTCCCTCCTCGTGGGTCTGGAGCGGGGACCTAGGAGAATGTATTTTTTAATAAGTGTCCTAATACAGTTATGTATATATGCATTTGTATATGTAACAGAACTCCAATAGTTTCTGGCAAAGTTTTGGAAACCCTGGCAGGCTCTGTCTCCCTTTCCTTACTGTGCGACTTTGGGCCATTGCAAGAACTCTCAGTCACCGATTTTTCACCTGTAAAATGGGTTGACAGAATTTTAATTCAAGCACTGTACATTAAACACTCTGTACATTAAATAAGTACTCTGCGCCATAACTTAGCTTTTCCTGCTCTCTCTGCAGCTGTGACAGCACCGCCTAAGCCTCATTAGAATCACCTGTCCATGGTCCTAAATACAGGTTTCAGAGACCCTTAGGCAGCAGACACCCGGCGTAGGGAATCTGTATTTTATAAGCTTTCCCTGTAAGGCAGGTTATCATTTGGCTTTGTGAAACGTGGTTGTAAATTAGTGATTTTCAACATCTGGAGAACTTAGAAAATAGCTTTTCCTTGGTTCCTCCTCCAGAGATTCTCATTTAACCGGTTTGGGTCCTTCCCACCTTCATTGGTATGTTGTAAAATCTCCCCAGGAGATTCTTATCTATCCAGGGTTGTGAGCCACTGCTGTCTTGGGTTGCTTGGTAGAAACAAAACCTGGGGGAAAAAAAAAAGAAAAAAGAAAGACAGACCTTGGTGAGTTTAATTCATTCAAGACATATTGGGGGTTTATCACATGCCAGGCTCTTTGCTGGGCACTGGTTATACTGAGATAAATAAGACCCACTTGTCACCCAGTCTTGTATGGCAGAGTGACACAAGGCTAGTTCAGTGCAGCGTGTGGATAGTGAGCAGTAGCCTGCTAACATGAGGCGTGTGTGGGCACCTCGGGTGCTTGGGGAGAGTCAGCACCTGAGCTGGGCCTCAGGACAAGTAGAGGTGGGCATGTTCAGGGTCAGGAGGGCAGCCCAGGCTGAGGAGACAGAGTGGAGGCCTCTATATGGCCCATGTGCTGGTGCAGGGACGGGAAGATTGAGGCAGCAGAGGAAGACCCCAGTGTATGGAGGCCCTTCTGTGCCTCATGGAAGAGCTGGGGCTCCATCGTCAGGACCCGGGGGTCCACTGAAGGCTTGGAGCCAGGGAGTACCATCGGATTTATGTCTTTGAAAAGGTGGTTTCTGGCTCTGGAGAATGGTAGGGGCAAGTCTAGCAGTAGGGAGCTGTTAGGCTCTTGTCAGGCTCTAGGCAGCTTCTGAGCACACACTCCCTGTTACCTCTGCCTGGAGATCCATGTGCCTGGAGAGCTATGTGAAGGGCTTTGTCATCCCCCAGAGCTGAACTTAAATGCCACTGCCCAGGAGACCTTCCTCTTATCCCTGACCCCTACACCCTCCTCCCAGCATCTCGTTATCTGAGTCATGGCACTTGGCCTTTTCTGTAGTCATCTTAGCCATACTCTCCTTGTTTGTGCTCTGTCTTCCTCCCCCAGATTGTAAGCTTCGTGAGGGCAGGGACCTTTCCTTGTTACCCTCTGAATCCCCTGTGCTTAGCACCTGGGAGACATAAGTCCGTGTGGGATGAGTGAATTAATTTCTCCAGCGAAGGGTTCCTCGGGCCTCCCTGAGCAGGTGGCATACTGGACCCTGGAATGCAAAGGTGCACAGGACTGCCATCCTGGCTGTAAGAGCCCTCCTTGGCCTCCTGCTTTGTGTGGGGCTTACCTTCGTTCTGGCCATTTAGCCTAGGCTCCTTGCCTTCCTTTCAAGTTTGGTGTTACCCTGTCTCTTCCCCTTGTGTCCTACCTTATGTTGGGTGGCCTTTCCCATCTGCTTCCTCCTCGATGGCGTCCAGTGTCTGGGCTCTTCTTTCACACCCCAGTCAGCTCCTCCGAGTGCTTCCAGGGCATTCAGTGGTGCATATATGGTCCCTGAAAAGGCTCTCCTGCCTCCCCAGTGTTGGGTCTCAAACTGGCCTGTCTGGGTCTCTTGTTTACACTGAATGTAGTGACAAGTTTTGGCTGGGCCCAGCTGGGGGTCCCTCTCTCTAGTCCCCCCTGGCCCTCGGTGCTTTAGCTCTCCAGGTGGAAGGATGCCTCTGACCAATCCTAACCCTAATTCCCTGCAGTCCCCCTTGATCTCTCCTGACCTGCAAGCATCCTGGTCTTTCTTTTCTCTTAACTCTGGAAGGGTCACTTGTCCTCTCTTGGGGTTTGGGAAACTGTTAATGGGCTAAAAGAAGTCTGCCCTCTGAGTAGTTCCTGTTTTCCAGTGGTCTTCCTCTCAACCACAGCAAAGCCACCCCCAAGGACAGAGGCTGTAGCCCCCAATGAGACCCCCCTCCCCGACTCATGCCTTTGCCCCTCTCCTGTTGTGTGGCTTCTTTTGGCCCCTTGTGCTTTCCCATGCGTCCCGTGGTGCACTCACAGACCTCAGGAGCACACATGTCCTATGGCTCCAGGGACCCCAGGCTGGGCTTTCAGGGAGAGAACCGTCCTGCCACTGAGGGCAGACCTGGCTCCAGAGAGAGCTGGTGGGCCTTTCCCCCCTCTTTGCACGGTCCAGGGCAGCTCTTCTGCCCAAGCCAGGAGGTGGGGATGGAAGGACAAGGTCTCAGTGCCTGGGCCTGTCGCTGGGCCTTCCTGGGCCCTCCACCCCCAGCTGCTTTCCTTCTGAAGCCCTGGCGTCTTGGCAGCCAGAGAGCCAGCCGGCCTTGCCTGGTCGGGAGATGGTTCCCTGGTCCACGGGGCCGGCCCTCCTCACAGTCAGATCTCTGTCTCCAAGTTAACTTCGAAAACAAATTTCTAGAACAGCATACTTGAAAGTGATATCCATGTAATGTGGTATGAATTTCATTTTGATCCTTTTGGTTTAAGATCCCTGTTAATTATCTCTTTAAATGACAAAAAGCTTATTGAAGAAGGAAAAATAGAAGAGGGCTTCTGTTTAAAGGAGAGGAAGATAACACTTTGGGGACATATGTCGTGATTTTCTGTTCATTAAGTCATTTTAGGTTACAATTAAGAACACTTTCTAATTGTTTTATATGTAAGTATTTATTTAAATTAATGCTTCTATATGAAAGGCCTAGTTCTTAGTTCTTCACACATGTTAACTCATTGGGTCCTCACTAGCCCCAAGGAGTAGATGCTTCTATTATCCCCATTTTACAGATGGGGAAACTGAGGCACAGGGAGGTCAAACACCTCTTTAAGGGCACATAGCTGGTGAGTGGGAGAGCTGGAACTCATGAGCATTTGAACTCTGAAATCCTCACTGCCAAATTATGTTCTTTTCTTTTGTGTCAGGCCTGGGGTTCTCCCCCAGGGACACTGTCCTTCAGGGGACAGTTGGAGATGTCTGGAGACACTTTCTGTTGCCACAACTATGGTATATTGGCATCTAGTAGGTAGAGATGGGGGATGCAGCTAATCGTCCTTCAGTGCACAGGACAGCCCCCACAGCAGAGAATGATGTGGCTTAAATGTCAGGACTGCCAGTGGTAAGAAACCTTGACTTAGGCATTTTCTGTCAAAGTAAAAAACATGGGGGTGACAATGTTTATCTTGTTTTTTTTAAAATGTCTCTCAGGATGGAAAAAAAAATGTTCTCAGTGAGTTTTCCTACTCCTTCGGAAAGCATTTATTCATGCTGCCCGTTTACATTTGGGTGACTCCTCGGGCCAGGCACAGGGCTGGGTGTCTGGGGGTTCAGCTGGACGCTGGTCTGCTGTAGGGGTCAGCGTTCCACTCACAGGGGCACTTTTTGGATTCTTGAGGGCAGGTCTTTTTGGAGCTTGGCTCAAAGCTCATTTGATGCCTGCCTGTGGGTTGCAAACTACTTTTAACACCAGGCAGAGGAAAATGTAAAATCATATCTGTAAAGTTTTCTTGAAGAAGCATGAGGAGGAAAGCAAAGCAAAGAGCAGGAATGGTGTAGGTCTTTGCCAGCGTCTGGTTTGCTCGCTGTTCCCTTCAGTTTGCAAGGAGGAGCAGGGGTTGTGTCCACGAGGAGCAGCTTGTCCTTACCAGGGACTCAGGCTCTCCCTTTCTGCGAGCAGGATTTCATGGTGGTCGATGTACAAGTAGACGTTGGTCCGGGCTGCTGATACCCTGCCTTTGTACAGTGACTTCATTGTTCGCCAGTCACTGTCACAAGTAGGGTGTCACTTACCTTTCCAAGAGCTCTGTGAGGTGGGTATGGGGCCAGGGAGACTGGCTGACTGATTACAGGTATTCGGGAGCCCGGGTCTTTGGCCTCCTGAGTCCAGTGTCCACAGAGCTGCTGCACCCATCACTGAGAGTTTGCAGAAACAGACCGGAAGCCCACAGTTCCCCCAAAAACCTTGTTTGCCTCGTGTAGAATTTTACAGCAGATTCATGCTCTCTCTATATGTTCTCTTTAAAGTAATCGGTAGGGAAGGCATATTCAGATTTTATCATCTAGATATCAGTGATTATTATTTTCTACTTTGGCATGAGTATGTGAACTTTTAGGAAATTCAGCCTCCCCTGGGAATGCCTCTTGCAACATCCAGCTGCTTCTCTGTTGAAGTAATTTTGTTTTTCTTGATATTTTATCACCTGTTGACGGTACCTCTAGTCTGTTATTGGCTCACGATTTTAATTGTAACTTTGTGTGCTGTTAGATAAAATGCTAAATTCCACAGAAATAGGACTAGTTTATATATTTGATTTGTTTATAATAGGTAGCACTTTTGAGGGCTTTTTATATGTCATGTACTGTGTTCAGTCCTTGATATACCTTATCCTCATAGCATTTCCTTGAGATCAGTTCTAGGATCATTTCCATTTTGCAGATAGGTAAATTGAGGCACCAAAGTTGAGTAACTTGGCTAGGTTGCAGTTAGGTGACCTTTGGGGCTTTCTAACTGCATTCTTTTTTTTTTTTTTTTTAAAGATTTTATTTATTTATTTGACAGAGAGAGACACAGCGAGAGAGGCAACACAAGCAGGGGGAGTGGGAGAGGGAGAAGCAGGCTTCCCGCGGAGCAGGGAGCCTGATGAGGGGCTCGATCCCAGGACCCCGGGGATCACGACCTGAGCCGAAGGCAGTCACTTAACCAACTGAGCCACCCAGGCGCCCCTCTAACTGCATTCTTAAATACCTCTTGGGAGCAGTTAGGAGTCGGTGCTTAAAACACTTCAAAGTTTTATCTGTGGAAAGAATAAATACTTAAGATTAATTATCTAAATGATATCTAAATATCAGCATCATAAATTAGACTGAAGTCTGTTCATCTGTCCTGGGATAAAACTAAAACAAATGCAAAACCCCTCTAGATACTCTGAGTGATTCACTAAGGCTCCTAAAGTTGACCTACAACTGGGGTTCCAGTCTGCTTCTCTTCCTCATCCTCCACAGCCTGCTCACAAAGACAGGCTTTCAGATTTCCTTGGGCTGCTTCTCCTTCCCATGCAGGGAATTGGACCTGATGTAGACAGTAGCATTTATGTTCTGAGTATTTCTTTTCTGAACTCTGGCTTTACTACTCTTGGGAAATAGTGTTGTTGGTGAGGGGGGCGGCACAATGCAGTTGATTAATTTTTAGAAGTGTAACCTTCACTTACTATTTTTTTGTGGAGTTTTAGCTTTTTTTTTTTTTTTTTTTTTTTTAACAGTCACGCTGAGGAGAAGACCCAGTGGGAACATCCGAAAACCGGAAAAAGAAAACGAATAGCAGGAGGTTTGTATGTTGTTGTCATAACATATTTGTTATGACATACTTGTATTTAAAGCATGAATAGATAGCAAAACTGTCACAATCAGGTGACAGGCTGCTCTGTCATTCCTGGAAGGTTCTCTAGGAGGGAGCCATCAAGGAATCAGGCTCTCTCTCGGAGGAGCTCACGGGATGTGGCAGAAGGAGGCGATGAGAGTGGGGAGGAATGGTGAGGGTGATTTCTCATGGGCTTTTTATAACGGCCATGGTTGGTACACACAACCTGAGGTGGCCCAGTGAGGCTGCTGGTTGGTGGGATAGGCTTCGGGGCGGGGGCTGGAAGGGCATGGAGCCTTCTGACCGGGGCCCTGGGCCTCCGTTTACCCCACCCCTGCCGCGCGCAGACCTGCCAGTCTTCCTGTGTTTCAGATTTGCCGTATGGATGGGAACAAGAAACCGATGAGAATGGACAAGTTTTTTTTGTCGAGTAAGTGTCTATATAGAAACTCCTCTCAGTCGTTTTGCCTTTCAATAGGAATTTTTTGTTGTTAAAGTAATATACCTCGAATATAGAAAAATATGTAGTATGTAACTGTAATCTTACCAGTAGGAATAACTACTTTTAATAATTTTTTTTATTTATTCTCCAAGTCTGCTTCCTTCAAAGAAAAAAAAGGTAGGGAGTGCACTTTGTGAATTGTGTAGTAACCTTTCTCCACATAATGTCTTGTGAGCATTTTCTCCTGTTTGTTTTTTTCAAGACAGTGGTGCTAAATGGCCATGGAGTATTATTTTGTACCGATAGACTGTAACTTACCAAATTACCTCCTGAGCATTGATGTTGTTAAGTTCCTGTGTAACTCCTTGGCCGCTCACCTCTCCGCCTGTTACAGCAGTGTGCTGGTAAATGGTTCCCCGCCAACTCTGGTGGGGGCGGGGGGATGCCCAGGTCTGTTTCCATGGGGCACATCCTTTCACCATAGCTTCTTTCAGGCCACCCAGGGGATGTCAGTGAGGAGCCAGGAGAGGTGTGCACCTGTGGGCCAGGCAGTACTGTGGTGTCTGGCGGGATACCCTTCCAGACACTTCGCTGGCAGCTCCGGTTATAAGTAAAACGAAAGCTGGATTCTTCTTGGCTCTTTGTATTTCTAGGGTGATGAGTATAGATCTTAAGCTATATTATTATTTTAAGCACATACATGTTACAGAAAAACTTGAAATCACAAAATCTCATCTGTTTATTTCTGGAGAGTTAGTTCTTAATGTTTTTAAAGATATTTTGAGATCTTTTGTCTCAGATCCAAAGAGTACATTTAAAAATGTAAAAAAATAAATCTGTTACATAGGAGTAACCCATTAATCCATATATACTAATATATTTGAGTTTCTATAAGACTTAGATCACCTCCAAATCCAAACTACAGTGCTCGGAGGAGATGTGAATATGGTCTTGAAATGAAAATCATCAGAACTTCAGAATGTTCAGACTTTTTATCATTTTGAGTTTGCCACCTCCTACCAGTTTTCTTACGCCCTTGCGCAGGGTTCAGAGATTTCACTGAAATCTACTGACAACAGTGGCTGACAGATCTTTTTTTTTTTTTTTAATATTTTATTTATTTATTTGAGAGAGAGAATGAGAGAGAGAGAGAGAGCATGAGAGAGGGAGGGTCAGAGGGAGAAGCAGGCTCCCTGCCGAGCAGGGAGCCCGATGCGGGACTCGATCCCGGGACTCCAGGACCATGACCTGAGCCGAAGGCAGTCGCTTAACCAACTGAGCCACCCAGGCGCCCAATGGCTGACAGATCTTAACAGCCACATTTACATGAATTAAAAAAAAAAAAAAATCCCAAAGCTGCTTCCTTTTTTGAAATCTCAGGATACAAGGCAGTGCTTTTTATATGCTACAGTGTATTTCACAGGCAGTTCTGAAGAAAAGGATTTGATGACTATCTTTCCAGGCAGGAATACAATCCTTTTGGAGGTCAGAAGACAGACTTAAATGGACGCCAGTTCTTTCTGGGGTTAAGAATAAACCTTTTTAGTACATGAAAAATGGGGTTTGCCTCGCCTAAACTATAAGATGGTCTTACAGGGCGCCTGGGTGGCTCAGTTGGTTAAGCAACTGCCTTCGGCTCAGGTCATGATCCTGGAGTCCTGGGATCGAGTCCCGCATCGGGCTCCCTGCTCGGCAGGGAGCCTGCTTCTCCCTCTGACCCTCCCCCCTCTCGTGTGCTCTCTGTCTCTCTCATTCTCTCTGTCTCAAATAAATAAATAAAAAAAAAATCTTAAAAAAAAAAAAAAAGATGGTCTTACATTTATAAATGCCTGGGTTCACTGTTTTCTCCTTTTCTTTGCAGCCATATAAACAAAAGAACCACTTATTTGGACCCGAGACTGGCATTTACGGTGGATGATAACCCTACGAAGCCGACCAGCAGGCAGAGATACGACGGCAGTACCACCGCCATGGAGATCCTCCAGGGCCGGGACTTCACTGGCAAAGTGGTCGTGGTTACTGGAGCTAATTCAGGAATAGGTAGGCCGTCCTTTACAGTCGTTGTGATTTTTTGTCCCTGCTATAATGAAATCCACTTGAATTTGAACTACAATGAAATCTTTTAGAATGATTCTCTAATATAAAAATGTATTTATAGCTTTCCTGCTGTCGTTTTGTTAAGACCCTGGCCTCTTTTTAAATCCCACTGTTCTCATGGAAGGCCGTGGAAGGGCTGACCTTGAATTCTCTGAGAGCTGAACACTCAGCAAAAGACTGTGGCTATTCTGGTATTCAAGGATTAGAGACAAACAGGTTCCGTTTAAGGGTTTCTGGCCTGGTCTGTGTGGTGTCTGGACACATTTCAGTGACTTGGGTTGTTGAAACCAAAATTGATTGGTAATGGAATAGCAGGAGCAACAACCTATCATGACTTTGGAACAAAGGGTACTGCAGGTTTCACCTGGTCAATGAGAGTATCATTTTCCTTTGGAAACAGGATCTTGTTTCTCTGTAAAGTTGGAGAATTAGTCCTTGTCTTAACCTCTGGATTGACCGTCTTAACCGCCAGTGTTTAACTGCAGTGACTGGCACAGGTAGATGGCTCCAGAGGCCGCCCTTCCTTTAGCAAACAGGGCTGCTAAAAGGGACAGTGGCAGAGCAGATGCTTGTACGAGAGCTTTCCGCGGGATTTTACTCTTACTCTGTTTTGATCCACTGACAGAAGCGTACGTACCTGTAAGAACCGAACTGCCCTGGGGATTTACATCTTCAGGTTAATTTACACAGACGAAACATAGAATTACATTGGGCTGTTTTCTGGCAAGTTCTATCTGCCCTTTGACCCCTCACAGTTCCCCACTGCCCCCCTCGTTGGCCTTCTCTTTCATAAGCTTTGTCTCCTCGTGCCTTTCTGCACCTCCTCCGCTGTCTCCTTTCTCCATCCTTCTTCATTTTCAGTGACCCCTTCTCGAACCTCCAAAAGCATTCCCGGCATCATCAGGGGAAGCACAGTGGGTGAAAATACATTCTTGGAGGATCAGTTATTGCATGGCAGAGGGTCTAGTCTAACAGGTGACAGTCCCAGAGCAGAGCTCTTGACTGTACTTGTCTGTGAAGGCAGAGAGGCAAATGAAGTTTTAAAAAAAGGGAAAGGGATTTATTTAAAATCAACTCTCGGACCTCACCCTAGGCTCAGAGTATGTTCAGTTCAATTTTCTGAGCTTCTCTATTGGGGTGGATTCTATATAATCGTCATTGATATCGAAACTGATGATGCTGTATTAAAAATAACGACTGGATCCTCAGTCACCCAAGAAACAATATATTGTGTTGATTGCATTGACTACTGTTATATGAGGGTGTGGACCAGTACAGTGGAAAATAATTAAGAGAAAATAAGTACTTAAGGACTTAAGTAAAATGCCTCTTTTTATTTAACAATTAGTTAACCAGAAAATTAAAAGATCTCATTCCTTTACTCTTCTAGAGAGACAGTTTTTTCCTTTAATTAGTAAGCAACGTGACTACTGGTTATTTTCTGCGTAAGTGTTCAAACTTTGTTCCGTCTGACGTTAGATAGCAGACCTTGGTGCTCCTAATGCTCTGCCAAAGATTTGCAGCGTCAGACTTAAGGACATCATGATCCAGGACTAGTTGAGCTGGTTCAGAGCATACAAAGAGCTTTGTTTCATTGGATCTTTAATCATAAAGGAAGGGATTCTGAAGCATCGAGAATAAATGTGTTGATTAGAATGGACCTCGAGCCTCTTAGAGGAAACTCCGTGCCTCTTCACTGCTCCCGCTTCCTCTTTCTTGAAGACCTTTCCTTTCTGATGTCCATGGTCAACTTTGCGGACACTGCAAGCAGGTTTCTCTGGTCCAGCTGGATGTGGTCGCAAATCGTCAAGCTTAAGAGTGGAAGGAGTGCTGGGATGGTCTTGGGGCGACCAGCTCTTCCTATGCCAACACCCGCACTCCTTCCCCGGCTCCAGCCTTCCCTCAGAAACTGCCTGCAGTGCTTCCGGCTACCCCCCTCCCTTCTCCTCTCTTGGGAAGCATAGGTCTTGGTGGATGTGAAAGATTTTTATTCTTAATTTTTGAAATAATATCGCCCTGAAAATTCCAAGCAATCAAATCCTTGCAAATCACTTTACTTGGCAGCAATGGTTTCAGGCTTAAAGAAAAGAGGCTGAAGATAGGCACACGGCTTTTCGTCGTAACTAAGTTCACTTTTTGTATCCTGCGTGGCTGCCTTAGAAAGTGTCCTTGCCCAAGTAGGCTGTGGCTTCCGGATAAAGTCCTCCCTTCTCCTGAACTATGAAACATGTCCCTCTATAAATTGCTGTCACCACTTTTCTGCACATTTCAAATGAAGTGACTGAATGCAGAGTGACTCAGGCATCTTCATTTCCAAGACGTGTGGGCATTCAGGAGTCCTCTTCTATCCGAGCTTTAATGGTGTTGGTGTTCACTTTTCTTTTGCTGTTCCCGGGAGCCTGTTTTCTGTGTATTAGCTGTCCAGCCTTGAGCCTTGTGGGTGTCTGTTCTCTTCTAAGTGCAGTGGGCTGCCACAAAGCATAGCAGTGTTTAGAGAGTGGTGGCTCCAGGACTAAAAACGTAGGTGACCTGACTTCCAAACCTGATATTTCCAGTGATTCTTTATTTTTAATTTTTTTTAATTCTCCACAGGCATTGCTTTGTTGGAGTTGCTGTCGGTGATGCTCTCTCTGTGGTGGGAGGGGATGATCAGGTGGTAAGAGGGGATACCTTTCCTTGATGAGCTTCAGTGTTGCACTAAGATACTACCCCCTTTGAAGTGGCCTCTGAGCAGGTTTTGTGTGATTGTCTTCCTCCTCTGGCTGTAAGTTGGTTTGGAGCGATAGAATTTTCAGTGGTTTATAGTACTAAGGCATTTAGAGGGATTCCCACTTAATTCAGCTCAAAAAGATCAGGGTGATTCTGGAAGATGCAAGGATTCTGAGGAGATGTCAGAATAAAGCATTACGAGTTCATGAAATCTTTGTTTTTACACTTGAAGTCTGTAACTAGGTATTGCTGTTGTTTGGGTTCAGGTGTCTAGATTGGGGGTTGGCAGGCAGACTGTGGCTCATGGGCTAAATGTGACTGCTGTCTGATTTTGTAACTACAGTTTTATGGAACATGGCCACGCCCACTTATTTCCACCTTTTTCCTGTGGCAGTTTTCGTGCTTTCTGCAAAATTGAGTAATTACAGTAGAGAACACATGGCCTGCAAAGCCTAAAATACTTACTATCTGGTCCTTTAAAGAGAACGTTTGCCAGCCCCTGCATTAGATGATTTAGTCCCTTTCAAAGCAAGATCACCCCGACATTCTCTAAAGCAGCCCCGATTTAGATAACATTTAGATACATTTGAAGTCCCGGGCCACAGGAAGCTTTTGGTGGCACACACTCTGTGACCTCTGGGGACATCTCACCAATGTCTTGCACCGCTTGCTTCGGCTCTGTCCCCCTTTTTAGGGAGCTATGAACATTCAGACGTCGCCTCCTCAGAAACTAACACTCTTCTCTCCTTGACCTTTGTTCAGCCAGTGTTCTGAACCTGAAGACCTTTATAGATTGAAAGCTGTAGCTTGGACCTCTCTCTGTGGAGATCAGCATCTCAGTTTCCAGGGGGACGTCATGTCTTCACCCACACTTCTACTAGCAAACCAAGAGGCCCGGAACCCCGCAGTCCTGACGTGCTAACCAGTAGAGACGAGGGAGGAACTGATTTCTCTTTGTGCTCGACATAGCACTGAGTGGGAAGGGGGCAGGTGTGTCACGACTCTCTGGACTTAGTGGCTTGCTGGATGGCTCCGATTTGGTAAAAATGAGTGGAAATGGCTTCAACCATTTAATGGTGATCATTAAATACAAGCCTTGCTGGGAAGTCTCGGGAGAGGGGCTGTTTTAGGCTAGGCCATTTCCCATCACAGAGGACCCCATAGCTGCTTTTCTAGACTCAACCTGTCAGTTGCTCTGATTTGTCTCTGTGTTTAAATAGTTGAGTAGAAAGTGCTGCCTGCTTGAATCTGAGGGCTGACGTGCTCATCAAAGGCAGGATTCTTCTAATGAGGGGTTAACTGAATGCCTCGATTTGGGACAGCACCTACCCTGTTGACGGTCTCCTGTTAGCAGGGGCTTTTGTTGGAACTTCCGCAGTCTGTTGCAGCAGGCAGACAGAATGATCATCACCTTTAAGGAGTAAAATCCAGGCTTTGTCAAACGTCCATTTATTTATTATTTATTTATTTATTTATTTATTTATTTAAAGATTTTATTTATTTGACAGAGAGAGACACAGCGAGAGAGGGAACACAAGCAGGGGGAGTGGGAGAGGGAGAAGCAGGCTTCCTGCAGAGCAGGGAGCCCGATGCGGGGCTTGATCCCAGGACCCCGGGATCATGACCCGAGCTGAAGGCAGACGCTTAACGACTGAGCCACCCAGGCGCCCCTGTCAAACGTCCATTTAAACACTAGTAACAAGGGGTGCCTGGCTGGCTCAGTCGGTAGAGCATGTGACTCTTGATCTTGGGGTCATGGGTTTGTGCCCCACATTGAGTATAGAGATTACTTAAAAATAAAAAATCTTTTTTAAAAAAAACCAAAAACCAAAAAAAAACAGTTACAGGTATGAGCACATTAAATATTTTCAGTGTAATATTTTTTGGTAATGATGATAAAACTTTCTCCTTGCAGTCTTAAGCTACCAGTGGTTAAAATTTGATTTCTAAATCCCTTTCAGGATTTTTTCAGGATGAAAAATTCCTTTGGCTTTTTGAACCTTCCTAACGCTGGGCTGCATCAGTGTCGTGACTTTAGATCTAGGATAGCCTGGTCTGGTTTCGATTTTTGAGCCAGAGGGCCCATTACCAGGAACAAAACTTTTTTTTCCCTGGACAGATACAAGCTGGCCACTTTGGTCTATACCAGTGAAATGTGTTTTAGGACTGACACTTCATTTTTTGGTATTTATATAATGTAATCCTCTCTAAGTTTTATTACATGGATTCTAATT